TTTAGGGTTTAGGGTTTAGGGTTTAGGGTTTAGGGTTTAGGTTTAGGTTTAGGTTTAGGTTGGTTAGGTTGGTTGTTGTAGGTAGTGTAGGTAGTAGAGAGAGAGAGAGAGAGAGAGAGAGAGAGAGAGAGAGAGGTAAATTCTTAACTGTTCCCCTCCTTCCTGTTCTGCAAATTGAGAGCACGTTCAAAGTGTTACCCAATCCAGAGGGGAAATGCATTGATGTGGTGGTTATGCTGTTATTCACAGGCACCTCAAAAATGCATTCTACTAGAAGGTTAGACCACGTACCCATTGCTGTCCTTCATAGAGAAACTTCTCTTTCTTCCAAGGGAAGGTCCCTACCAAATGGAAGATTAGAAACACAAACTACCATCTATAAGGGAACCAGGGGACCGGTGCCATCTCATGAAGCTAAGAGCATGAAGAAGCAGTTGCCACATGCACCTCAAATGGAGCCCTTTCGGAATGGTAATAGCAATATTTGTAGAAGCCAGGGTGCCGATGGTTCGGGCACAAAGGAGGTGACAAGCACTCGAACACCTTCTGGTGAGAGGCTAAGGGAGCCCATGCCAAGCTTTGGAAGGAAGGAGCTTATTAGCCTGGTTCAAGAGGCCATGCAATGCCCCCCTCAAGAAGCAGCCATGACAACTATGGTTTCTCAGAGGAAAAGAGTAGCAGCCCCACCAGCCAAAGCACCACGAACTAAAGAAGATGGAAGATTGGTTTTGTTTACACCTATGCCATTGCATTGTAATGGTATTCCAGTTTGTGGGGCAGGCCCATGTAAGAACAAAGGTTAGTGCTGTGAGCTAGGTGCTTTTGAATTTACACTGTTTTAATGTTTCCTAGCTTGAGGGGTAATTTGTTTGATTTTGATTCCGACAGAGGGAAAACACAGGAGAGAAGGTCCTTGTGTAGGGACTAAGGGATTCCGTGCTCCTGAGGTATAGAAATTTTATACTGCTTTCTATGAGCTTTTTATTTTATCATACAATCACCCACGACCGGACTTGATCTCTCTCTGTCTCTCTCTCAGCTATTGGATGCAACCTAAATTGATATTGGTATCTATGTGATATTTTCGGTACCTGAAGTTGATTTCTGTTCGATTAAACCATCACTGATTGTTTGCGTGCTGTTTGTTGCAGGTCTTGTTCAGATCACTGTATCAAGGTTACAAAGTTGATGTATGGTCAGCTGGGGTGACGTTGCTCTACCTGATTATAGGAAGAATGCCATTTATTGGGAATCCTGAACAGTATGCCCTTTGTTCCTGTCCTTCAATCTGCAGTTTGCAAAAAAGTTAATCTACCCTCTCTCTCTCTCTCAGCAGCAAAATCTTTTGATGTCTTTACAGAAACATAAAGGATATTGCCAAGCTACGTGGGGCTGAAGATCTTTGGGAGCTGGCCAAGCTGCACAACCGAGAATCATCTTTCCCTGTGGTACTGGATTTTTAGATAAGGAAGCTATATTAATAAATTAAATTTCAATCTCATGTCTTTTGAACTATTAATGCCATATGATGAATCCCAAGCTTTCAATTCTCGTGGATAAAAAGGATTTGCTTTTGCATTTTCCAAATGAAAAGATAATTGTTTGGTTGCAGGGTTTATATGACACACAATTCATGCATTCAATGAATTTGGAAGCTTGGTGTCGAACAAATACCAAGAGACCAAATTTCATTGATCGTATCCCAAGATCACTCTTCGATCTCATTGACAAGTGCCTCATGGTGAACCCAAGGTCGAGGATTAGTGCAGAGGAAGCTCTACATCATGAGTTCTTTGCCCCATGCCATGAGGCCCTGAGAAAACAGAGAATGCTGAGAAGGAATGATATGAAACCCTCATCTGACACACCCTCTAGTTCTTGAAGTCACTGACAGCTCTTCAATGCATGTGATCAAGGGAGTGAGTATGCCAAGTAACTTCATTGTACCATTTGATATCCTATTTGTAATATAACATAGCAAGTTGGCTGAAAAATCTTCTTTCTGTAACTTGTATTCATTACGAGAATTTGATTTTATAGAGGAAAGATTCCAGAGCTGCTAGCATGGAATCTTTGCATTGTGATTTCTAATGTGAATAAAAGGTTGTTGCTGATATGGTAAACTTGTTGCTTTACAGGAATTTGTCATGGAGTTTAAACTGTCATCCCCCCTCTCTCTCTCTCACACACACAAACTATATGGCTAAAATGATGGTCATACTCATCAATTTGAGACCAAGGAATCTACCACTAGCTTTCTTTTTAAAAAAAGGAAAAAAAAGAAAAGCTTTGTTGAAATATGTTAAATAAGCAAGCAAAAATTGACTGAAAGCTGCAAGTTGCTTCTTTATAGTAGAGAAATTATATAATAGCAGTAAGGGCGTGTCCCTCCCTTCCCTAATGGTTTTAAGGTTCTCATTTTTGTTTCTTCTTTCTTATTGTATCAGCTCTACCTCAGTTTAATGGAAATGTAGCAAGTTAACAATTAGAAACAGAAGAAATTTGATAAGGAAAAGTTTATATAAGGTTGCCAACCGTGAAATGTAGAATTATAGATGCACCTCAAAAATCTATTGGAAAATATTGTTTCAATATTGAAAAACCCTTCAATTGATCATCTCGACATTGAGATGTATGAATATATATATATATATATATATATAAAAGAAATTTTTATATATAAAAAAAAAGAAATTTGAATCCCATAAATAGTACATTTTACTAGACTGTCTATTTTCAAGATTTTCATATGTTTATAGATCTATTTGATTTTAACTATTTTTTGAGTTTAAAATTTTATAATTAGATATGAAAATAGATTTTCAGATAATCCTAATAATTTTTTACACCAAAATTACATGTTATGATAAAATTTGGAGGTGCGTCCTAATTGGATTGTTTAAGATTGCAACTTTCTAGAAACTACACCCATTAGATAAGGGAAAGCTTTCTATGTTTCCCCTACAACATAGAAGTTATGTCTTCCCTTTTATCTAACCCTCCATTTTTTAATAGGGGGTTAAGATTGCCCCAATCACAATGTCATGTCTTTACACTGTTTTATTTTTAATCGTTTTTGCTATAAACTGTTTTCGCACCAAATTTTGGATGTCCATTCCTCTATTAAACTCACACTAACAAAAAATATAAAAAAAATATTTTCAATAAAATAAAATAACCAAAATACTCTTGAAAGTTTCAAGGGGTATTTTGGTCGCTATTTTTTTTGAAAAATTATTGTTACTATTTTCTATAGGTGCACCCCAAAGAGAAGATAGTACATACCAAATTTCATGTTCAAAAAATTTGTATTAAAAAAAACTAAAAATAAAATACTTCGAGATGTCGGATCTAAGATCAAATGATGAGTGGCTCTCTTGATAAAAAATAGATGGCTGGATGGTAGGGGAGTGTAGGAAGAACAGAGAAAGCTTTCCCATTAGATAATGGCATTTAATGGGCATCAAGCCCTGAGGTGCTCTTCACTATTTACTCTTTACGTGATATGCTTATTATTCATCAATATTGGAGGCAAAATGGCTGTGTTTCTAAAAAACCTCCATTAAAGCACATGGGAATACGTTTGCCCTGTTGGGGCTCGAGAAACTTGGTGAAAGCTTTGGCGGGTTCTTCTTAATTTGGGAAAAGATGAGCATTTTAAAACCTTTTTGCAGCAAGAGTAGAACTCGAGACCAGATCTATAGAGGGAGATATGGGACAACAGAACTTGTTGCACACTATGGTTGACTTAATTTGAAAACTAAAGGAAAGGTGTCTATGCCATCTTAAACATGGATTTTGGATTCAAGATTTTAAGGTTTTTTATCTTACCATGATGGATGATCTGCGAACATTTTTTGAAATATAAAAATGGTGTCTTTTAAAATTCTTTTTTCACCGACCATTTTAACGGTTAGTCGAGGAACCATTTTTTGATATCTCAAAGATGGACAACTATGGTTCAGATCCAAAACTTGAATTTCGGATCTTATTCGGATCTGGTATAGATCCAAGATTTGGATTCGAAATTCAGCTCTCGATCTAAATTTTGGATCTAAATTATTATTTGGATCAAATTTAGGTACAGGTGGATCCGGATCCTACCCAGTTATTAAAATAGTATATATGTTCACACTATAAAACATTTTATAATTGTACTAAATAAATTTTCAACATTAAGAAGGATGTCCCATCATTTACAAAGGATGTCACATCACCATTCATGTGGATAATGTCTCTCCATTCTTAATAACAAAAAATACTCTTAATAAAAAAATATTCTATGTAAAAAAAAATATCTATAAGTGTCCAAAATTTGTCAAGTACAATTATAAAATGCCATATAATGTGAGTACCCTAACATAACCTATATTTTTAACTTTTAATGACTTAATCCCTATTTTGGGATCGGATTGTGGAATTGATTGGAAATCAGATCTGGATCCTCTAAATAATTTTTGGATCTAATTCCGGATCTGGATGGATCCAGACCCGATCAGACAAATTCTCAACTCTATGGACAATTACCATCCATTTTAACTTCTAATGGAGGCATCAACTCTGGACATCCGTCAAATCGGTTTTTTTAAAGTTCTCGTCTTCAGCTTCATTGATTAAGTTTTTCAGAAGAGGTATTACATAAAGAATCTTGAATTAAGAAAATATTTCCTTAATGTTTCCCAAAAAAAATTAATCCCCTCAAAAGAACTCGCATTCCACCAAAAATAGTCATCATCATATTGTAGAAAAAACATTACCACAAAAAAACTATATTCCTCTAGAAGATAATAAAGATAGAGGGAGTATTACCCAGTGAAAAAATCTTCATTTTATCTAAACGACGAGCACCATTGCAGAGAGCAAGAGAGATCGATTCAGCCTCAAGAGGAAGCATACACGTTTTGGGGTATCACACAAGAGGAAGCATACACGTTTTGGGGTTTAATCAAATTTAGATAAAAGAAATTTCGAAATAGTACCTAAATGCTACAAAGTCTTGGAAGTTAATAGCTTTATTGCATGTCTATGCATATCCGATAATTATACTCCAACTTTTTGAGCCAAATGAAAAATATTCATGGTTTTTCAAATTACCTATTTTTTAGTGATGTGTTTTGTCACGATTTTTTGCCTCCAATTTTTTTTGGACCAAAAGGGATTTAATATTGTTTTTTTGGTCTGCCAATACATTGCTATTTCCCATTTTTCTAAGTATACTCCGCAGCAGGACTATTGTTAGGGCCCTATATTTTGGAATGTAACTTCCTCAAGCTAGCCACCAACTTCTAAAATAAAAATAAAAACAAAAATAAATAAAGATATGCAAAACTGTACTCCCAATGAAAATAATGCCCAATACAGTCCTTTACCTTTCCACAAAGGAGGAGAACAATGGAAAAAGACAGAGACCTGTTTACAAGGTAACAGGATCAGCAGCCCACCTTCTCTTTACCTCGGATTTCCATCGAACTTCCTTCAACATGCCATCAGATCCATAGTCTCTCTCCATCACTAGATTGATCCCTTCATCAGAATACCACCCCACCCCAATACAAAGCACATCATCTTTCTTCACATCCACATAACCAGTGACCCCGCCCGGTAGCCAAAGAATGGTCACATCTTGCATGTCAAGAATGTCTTCTTCGCCAAAGTAGGCAGAGCTCTCTGGTAGGCTTCTCTTCTTTAGAGTCTCCATACACAGGTATACAAAGGGAGGCCTCCCTTCTTTGCTTGTGCTCTCCTCTTCCCCCTCCTCTCCAGAAATTGGGGTTGCTCCAACTTCAAACACCTTCCATGAACCTGCTAGCTCTGATGGCGCGGTTCGCTTCCTTTGAGAAAAAGGCTTCAAATCCAACTCCCCATCACTGCCATAGACCCATGACGCCAATGGATATGTTAAGAACAGGATGCATTATACTCGCATGTGAGACAGAGAGATGCATTACAGTCACATGTGTGTATATGAGAGAGAGAGGAAAATAGTAAGGAATGGACACAAATCCCAATGAAGTACAGAAAAGCATAGCCCATTGGGGTCCCTACCATCTAAAAATAATCATCTGGTGATTCCTAGGCAGATCCCAAATTTTCAAATTGAAAGAATCTTCCTTAGTCGCTTTTTCACCCTAGGGATTAAGTGCACAATATATGCTCCTGTGTATATGCACTTAGAAATATAAAGCCCCTAATGTGCTTCTCGCTAACAAACCAATTCAAGCTTCGAAACTCTAGTAACGTCTGGGAACTTAAACCTGCCCAAAGTAAGTACTTCTTTTTTTAGAAAATGTTAACTGTATTGAAGAGGAAGGGGAGTACAAGTGTTCTATGAGGCAACCCACAAGTCGGGTTCTTTGGTAAAAAATATCGGGGCGACCCACAAGACGGATCCCACACCTCAAAAAACAGGTTACCCTAAAAGGGTACCCTGTACAAAAAATGGTTGGGGCTCAAGAGATCTGCCCAATACAGCCATGTACAAAAGAGTTGCCAGGGAGAATAATCAAACGACAGAGAGTTATGCGGCCATGCTCAAAGTTAGTATTACAAAGCCCTCTACATGATCTCATACTACAGCATAAAGCCTAAAATTTAGACACCTTTAGATATGTCAACATGCTTCATGCTCGCTAGAATACAGCAGCATTTCATCATCTATTACATGTTAACAGCTAAGTAGCAATTTACCATCCAAGCTTTGCCAATAGCATTTTCTGTGGGCTTTACACTAAACCAAAAAAATAGGAGGGATAAAACCATGGGTGCAGTTGGCATACGGATGCATCTGTAGCTTTAGAGGTAAGGTGCACCTTCAAATTTTATAATAGTATATAATTTTTATGTAAAATGTTCTTAGGATTATCTCAAAATCTATTTTTATATCAAATTATAAAATTTTAAATTTAAAAAATGGTTAAAATCAAGTAGATCTATAAACATATGAAAATCTTGAAAATGAACGGTGTAGATAATATGTTGTAAAATGCACTATTTCTGAGAATTAAAATCTTTTTATTTTTCATGATCATACATCTCGTTGTCGAGATGATCAGTCAAAGAATTTTTCAACATTAAAACTACCTTTTCCGATGGATTTTTGAGGTGTATCCATAGTTCTGCATTAGAAGGTTGCATCCTTATATAAACTTTTTCCAAAAAAAATTGAAGAAACAGAAATGATGAGAAACTACATCTCAAAATCTATCAATCCAAACAGTTTTCATTCACGAGATAAGGTTAAATGAAAAGGTTCTGGGCGCCTTAAATAATGCAGCGACCTTATAAATCTGATAAGGGAAAGTCTACCATCCACATCATGTGGGCAGGGGAAGGGTGCACAAGCAACCCTTCAAATGGCTATATTCAATGCCTACAAAAGAGTTTCATACTTTATTTTTTATTTTTATTGGATATTTATTTGAAATTTGGGTTCTCAATGTTGTTTTATATAGTAAATCAAATAGAAAATAAAAAAATATTTTGAACAAAAAAAAGTTGACTAAAGTACCCTTAAATTGTTTCAGGGATAATTTTGGTCAATTTTTTTGTTGAATTTTTATTTATTTATTTATTTATATTTTATGAACCATATATCCTAATTTTAGATAAATATTATTTTTAAATAAAAATAAAAAATAAAGTATGAAATTCTTTTTGGGTCATTGGATGGTATGATTGGATGGTATGAGGTTCAACCTGAGCCATTCAAGGGTGCTTGTGCACCCTTCAAGTTTCCACATTATGTGGACGCTATACCATCCCCACCTGATAATCATGAATTATCATCAATGGAGCAAAAGGAAACCACACTAGAGAAAAGAAAGGCATGGAAGATACGTGGCATCCAACAGGGAAAAACTTACAACAATAATAGAATGTATGTAAGATTTACTCATAAATTTGAACCGAACAATGATTAAATATACAAGCCTGATATGGTTATAATTAAAGGATGGGGATTTGGCATGGCGTAAGGGTAGATTCCTCTCAGCGGCAGGCCAACTCTCATCAAGACCACCCTCTCCAATGTCTCCATCTACCATATGCACTGTTGGAAAAATCAGGCGATCTAACCGCTAACCGCCCAGTTAGATTGGAACTGGCCACTGGCCGGTTTCGGTTTTGGGAAGTTTTGATGATCGACCGGTATTTTAAAAAAAATTCAAAAAAATTATATAAATTATCAAAAATAAGGAATTTGATTTGAAATGCATTTTTTAATATTCTTTGTATTATGGTAAAGATTCAAAATTGTTTTGGACCGGTATTTTAAAAAAAATCAAAAAAATTATATAAATTCTAAAAAATAAGGAATTTAGTTTGTAATGCATTTTTTAATATTCTTTACATTATGATAAAGATTAAAAATTGTTTGGTCATTAATACTCATTTTAATTCAAAAATCAATCCGTTAAAATCCATTTTTCATTAATTTTCAACTTCATTTGAATGTGTTTTGTTTCAATCATTCTTTATATGATTTTCATTTTTTAATAGATTCTTTTTTTAGTATCTTTTTTATTTTTTCAACACTTTTTTGACTACCTGGGACTTGCCCGATTAGAACGGCTAAATCAGTCAGTTTACCGGTTCGGCTAGTTAACCGTTCCGGTTCGATTTTGCGAACACTGACCATATGTCAATTCTTCGAATCCCTGCCTTTCTTGCAGCCCCTCTAGAGCGAGAGAGGGGAAATTTTCTTTGGTTGGGAGAGAATGACAAGCACAAATTCCTCTTAACATTCTCAAAAAAAAAAAAAATTTCACCTCCTAGCATGGGACAAGGTCTGCCTACCAAAGAAACAGGGTGGACTAGGCAACCCTCATCACCATTTAGGTAACAAAGCCTGCTGGGAAAATGGTGGTAGAGATTTACCATCCAGCACAACCACCTGTGGCAACAACTAATACGCCAGAACACCAAATAGACCCCCTTTGTTGTATGCCAAGTGGACCTGATCATCTGGGGTCTGGCGCTCTCTACTCTCCTCTTTGGACCAATTCTGGTCCATTGTCCATCTCAGAGTGAGGTCGAGCACTAGAGTCAAAATTTGGACCAACCTGAGGACTGGGAATTCTATTCTGTGGGAAAGCTTAAAAAATCTTTACCCTTTGGCTAGAGACAGGGATGCTTGGGTTGGGGATCTCTTTGAACCGTTGGGAGAGGAAACGGTGGAGGCCAAACTTTAGTAAGGCCCTTGCTCAGCCACAAAGTTCCTTCATTCCAGTCCCTTCTTACCACCCTACAAAGTACATATCCTACCACCTGCAGGGGCTGATAATATCATTTGGATGACCACACCATCCCATAAGTATGCAGTATCTTCCTTTTATGGCCAGACTCCCACCCCCCCACCCCTCAAAAAAAAACAACAAACCAGCTTCCCGTGCTTGGATTACTGCCATTGCCCCCCCGTGCTTGGATTACTGCTGGTTGCAATTTCCGAGAGAGAGAACAATATGATTTGTGGAGAAGAAAGTAGCAGCCATTCCATATATTAATTCCTCATTTAATGCTCCTCATATAGTTTTCCTTAAAAACCTGAATCTCAAATAGGTACATCTTCCAACAGTTTAAGCCACTTAAAAATAACTAAGAAGAGTAAGGACATTATTTTAAGACTATTCTAATTAAACCTTTTGTACTAGGTGAGGGCATTCTCCAATTTATAAATTACAATGTCCTTCGGTGAAATTAACTACTTTAGAGAGAGGCATTTTAGGGAATAAATTTGGGGCACACCTTTCCAACCAGGTTTAACAATATGGTATAAATCTTCAAATATGGCATAAGCTGGGAAAACTTGAGAGAGGCCTTTTGGAGAGGAGCCCTGTGGCTAGGGTTTGCAATGGATGAAACTACTGGTATTGCAATTCTCAAGGATATTTTATCTCATTAGAATCTCATTTTAGATTTCCAAACCCCTCCTTCAGCAAAGACTAAAAAATACCCGGAGAAGTCGGAAAAGAGAATATAAAAGGTCAAAAGGGATTCCTAGTTGGAGAAGTAATAAGCTGGTCGGGCAGATGGAGCTCCTAGTTTTCTAGGAACTTCAACAAAAGGTGAAAGAAAGTTGGAAAAAGGAAACAGGGTTTTAGCCAAGGTGGACAATAGAGAGAGAAGGGGAAGCAGTCTGAAGAAGCAGCTTTCTCAACACATCTCCTTTCTCTTCGGTCCTTCTCACTCTACTTCATTATCCATATCGCTTCAAGTCCATTTCTCTCTTTTTTCTTAGCCTATTCCTGCAGTTTTGAAGCTAAAGCAACAACAAAGTACTACTACTGTTTGGCAAGAGAGAGTAATAAATTTGAAGAAATAAAGTGATGATGTTGTAAGGGGATGATGTTATAAGGGATCAGGTAATTTTGTAGATTTTGTTGTTAATCTCTCCCCAATTTTGGAGAATTTTGATCAGATTTTTTATGAGATTATGCAGGTGTTTGAAGAGATGGGGTGGAAATTTCATCAGAATTTCAACTCAAATTGAGGGGGTACTTTAGAAAATTTTGATCCAATTAAGAATGATGGATATTGGGATAAAGGACTATGTCTTCTCTGTCTACCTGTGCCCTTTTCTCTATCTCTACTGCTCTCTCATACCTCTAAGCTCATCATCTAAAGAGCTTTAGACAGATTTTCTTTGTAAAGAGCTTTAGACGGATTTTATTTGTCTCGTAACTCTCATTTTCTCTAATTTTTGCGTAGTGTAAACAATCAAATACTTCTGTTCTCTTCCAAATCGAGAAATTGAGAAGGGCACTCAAACTAGACACTCAAACGGGCACACAGATGCAGAGCAACACACATTGTGACAGTACGTGATCATAAAATACGGATGGCCAGCAAGATTTATTTTTCTGCTATCTTTATCAAACTGATAAAAGAACAAATAGTGATCACAGTGAAAAAACTAGCATTATGCCTTGAAATAAGTAAACAAAAGAAAATTTAGGAACCCCGTCAGTAAAAAAAAAAAAGAATAGTATATGATATGTTACAACAGAAAGTAGACTCTAGGCAGAAGTGGTCGGGGTGGAGGGTGCCACAACGTGACATCTAAAGTTCCATTCTCACCAGTTCCCAAGTTAACATACTTAAAAAGAAAAAAGAATAAATAACAAAAAAGGTATGTTAGACCATACAAGTGGGTGCAAGTGGCCATTGGCCTGCAGGTAAAATCCTCTATTTGGATTCACAAGAAGATAAATCAGAGAAATTGATGGACACCTGGAAACATCAAATGTTCTCCATGCATATTGATAAAGATAAGCTCATAGGATTAGTAAAGGAATGGATTGCAGAATCACCTTGCATCTTTCATATTGGTAGGATTGACCCACTGTTCTTCGAAAACAGAAACTCTTACTATTTGTATATCCGATCCCCCATCTTTGAACTCTATGGTATGCACAATACGCAGCCGTTTGTGGCATCCCTTAACCAAGCACTAAACAATTGAAGAGTAAACAATAAATAGATACTCCATTCCCTAGAGATATTCCATAAAAACTCAGTGATCACCACTTATATTTGAAAGTATTGCAAATTTATGCATGCATTACATCCACTATATCTTTAAAATTAATGTTCAAAATTAAATATTTCTCGATGCCTAATCCTTGGCGATAAGGCAACAGAAAAACAGGATCACTGGGAGGGTAAAAGTCATTCAAATGTAGAAATTTTTGGTTTACGGGTGCCCATAACATCCACTGCTAAAGTCAAAACTTACTTGTTCGAACTTGAAAGTAGGAGAAAGATAATACTTCGACTCATCAAATGTTCCCACTGGTATAGACATAGGGCCTCTGGAATATGAGCCATCCTGTAAACAAGAACAGTGCTCACTAATTTGTCACGGCTAGTGGTGCAGTAATGCACAGGATCATTTACTGAATCTTAAGTGTCAGAACCAACATTGATGGTCTTGAAAAAGTCCATTAAGGGCTTTCATAATACAGGTATATTCATCAATTACTTTCCTCAAAATGTTCAACACTCAATATTTGCTATAAAGTGACATAAAACATACTTCAATACAATCCATCATGAGATAACAAGTGCAAGATATGTCAATACCAAACCATAGAATATTTATATCTTCCATGCATGCAGAGACAATCGTTAGCGTAGAGATGATAACTCAGCATCTATGTTAGCTGTCATTTACATAAGCTATTTCATTCTGAATTTGGGAGCCATTCATGGTTCTAAGATGTGCAACACACAGTTGTTGCAGCTGGTAGCATGGCGTGGGTTTGTTGGTTGCTAGGAGTTCCCCATTTTGCTAGGGTGCCATACAATACATGTATCAAAACAGACAAATTTTAATAAACAAAATCCCAATTTTTTTTGGAAATATTTAGATGCAAAACTAATACATTAGAAATACCTTTAACTATACTTACAACAAATTTACTGATTGACATACCTCTCCAGGGGGCCTCTTTCACCTGGTCAGACCACTCCATCAACCCCACCCTTTCAAAACTAGATCGCTTTCTTATATCTTTGGACTGGCCTGCTGAATTTCCTGGTTCACATTCTCTTGCCCTCCCTAAGCCCACTTCGGATCATTGCCCTATCATGTTAGACACCGTTCCAGCCATTCGTTCATCCAAGCCCTTCAGATTAGAGCTGGTTTGGTTAGAGGAGGATAATTTCAATAACCGACCTCTTTCTCTAGCCATGTCCACAGATGGGTAGGGTATCGGCTCCAAAAGAAGCTTCAATGTGGAGTGCTCTGCTGCCAGGAAATTTTCGGTCCCACAAGGCCTCCCTTCTCCATTCAATCCAATTGTGGGACTCTACAAAGGAGACTTGTCCTCGTGCAAATAATGAGAGATCCCTCCAAGCCGAGGCCAAGTTTGAACTACAACTCCTCTTAAAGAAAGGGGAAATTTTTTGGGCCCAACGATCAAGAGTGAAATGGCTTAAACACAATGACCTCAACACTGGTTTTTTTCACAAAATAGCAACTGTAGAAGAAGGGATAATACCATTACTCATATTAGAGTGGGAGATATTGTGCTTGATCAACCTCCTTTGATTGAAGATGCAATCACTGAGTACTTCAAAAAGCTTTTTGGGGTACCTCGAGGCCCTTGACCCTTCTTGGATGATCTTTCTTTTCAAACCATCTCTCCCTCTTCTGCTAGTTGGCTCGAGAGGCCTTTTGAAGAGCATCAAATTCTTGATGATGCATTTGTTGCTCATGAGGCCATCCACTCTTGACATCAAGCCAAATTACCTGGTTTAATGATCAAACTGGAGCTGCTTGTCGAAGGACTTGCCATCCACGTATCTGGGATTGCCCCTCTGCATAGGTAAGCCTAGACTGAATCTTTGGAGCCATGTCATTAACAAATATGACCGTAGATTAGCAGGGTGGCAAGGCAGATTCCTATCTGCGGCAGGATGCCCTACTTTGATTAAAGCCACTCTCTCTAGCATCCCTATATTTCAGATGTCACTTTTTCATATGCCGGCCTCAGTGGCCCACCATTTGGAGCAGCTAATGAGAAACTTTTTGTGGTCCAGCAGTGAGGATAGGAAGATCCGTCTTATATCTCGGAAGAATGACTGCAAACCTAAATCTGGGCCTGGGCATTCGAACCCTCAAAGACTTGCTCTACTTGGGAAATGGTGGTGGTGCTTAGCTACCCAAAACAACCATCTTTGGCAGGAGGTGATCAACTCAAAATACCACAGTTCTGACCCCTCTTGGGTACCCTCCCGACAAGCGCATAGCAACTCCTCAGGGATATGGAAGTCCATACTGCGTTCTTCCCCACACTTTCAGTCCATGATAAGGTACAGGCCTAGGCAAGGTGAAAAAATGTTGTTTTGGATCGATACTTGGCTGGAGAATGTACCCCTTAAAGACCTTTACGGTGTGACTTTAATGTAACTGTGGAATCCCAGTTTCAGCTAATGTGCAATAGGAGGGTGTGGAGTCCTACCCTCAGAAGACCACTCTCGGATCCAGAATTTCAGGAATTCACAGCCCTTTCCATCACTCTAAACTCTGTCTTCCTGCCCCTTCGAGGCCAAGATAGCCTCATCTAGACCCCCAACCACTCGGGTTCCTTCTCGGTGGCCCCCTTCTATCCTTCTCTAGCTCATCCCAGAGGCCCCCTGCTTGCCCCAATTCTATTGGTTCCCCCAGGATTCAATTCTTCAATTGGATAGCTGGATCCGAGAGAGCCCTTAGTGTAGATCAATTGCGGAGAAAGGGTCTCCAAATCCCAAATAGATGCATTATGTGCACTGAGGACAAGCAGACCAATGCTCACTTCTTCATCCATTGCATGGTAGCTTCGTCTATATGGGCTGACATTCTTCAGTTATTCCAATGGCAATGGGTGACTCCACCTGATGGCCCTCATCTCATCAGTTCTACCTTCTCAACCCCCTGGCCTAAGGCCGGCACCCTGCTGTGGCAGACCTCTGTGGCTGCCACCCTTTGGACAATCTGGACTGAGAGAAATGCCAGAATTTTTCGAAGCCAGTCATCTCCGGTGAAAGCACTAGTAGAAAAGATCAGAGAAACAACCATTTTCTGGGCCACTCACCACAAACAGTTCAAAACCTTTGCCACTTTGATTTTCTCCATGGCTGGACTCCCATTAGCTCCTTCAAAGCTCAGAGGCCAACACACTTTTCCCTTTGGAGACCATCCGAAAAGGGCCACATCAAGCTTAACTTCGATGGGTGTTCTCTCGAAAACCCAGGCCATGTAGGCATAGGTGGCTTGTTCCGCGACCACAACAACCCTTTGGGAAGGCCAGGAAGTTAGACATTAGCTGGGCGCAGTATGTAATCGTTGAAGGTGACTCTTACAGTGTTATAGCCTGGGCCTCAGGCACTGCCCCCTGGCCTTGGAGGATTGACATCATATTCGAAGAAATCTGTCAACTCACAAGGAATCTACAAATCTCGTGGAATCATGTTCGGAGAGAAGTTAATGGTGAGGCTGATTCCCTAGCAAAGGCAGCTGCAACCTTGTCTCAAGCCAACCTGAGCAACCCTTAGGGAACCTTCGCTCGACTCCCTATCACAGATTGGAATTGATATAATGGCTCAATTCATGTAAAGCTTTTTTGATACACCCTTGGTTTTGTATAGGGCACCCGTTTGTGGGTTGCTTATTTTTGGGCGGAACCCGTCTGTGGGTATCCTGCCCCCTCTCCTCTCACATTCTGTACTCACTTTCTGTTCAATACAGTCAACATATTAAAAAAAAAAAGAAGGCGACATTACCCTAGAGGGTTTTATCATACTTGTATGATGCTTCATTATAAGTGTGTCACATTTGCTAGCATGAAAGTATGTCAAAGACTAAGAATCACTGGCATATTGAATGGATAGTTGGACGTTACATGAAGAAAGATCAAACAGGAAAAAACCTCTCAAAACTCATATAACAGGGCCATCACAATTTAATGGACAACAACTTGATCGAACCAGGGGCACACACAGCTTCTTTCGGCACAATGAAGGATAATAAAAAATATTGATTTAGCAAATCAAGTATAAGGATTTTACTTAGCAATACCTCAAAAAAGACCAAACCTGGCTCCATTCCCATGGAATCCTCCTCTAGTATATCACTTCCTCTAAAGTCAAACGATTCAATGCAGGGCAATATATGTTTTATTTCAATATTATCAAACTTAACTCCCTCTTTCTCTTCCCCTTCCCCTTTCTTACCACCATTGTGGTGTTTGATCTGCAGTGGCACCTCACCAAAAGGGTTCAGAACTACCCAATTGATTTTCCTATGTAGTTGAGGAACCCCACCTCCTGATGAAGGGCTCTCCTTCTCAATTTCCAAAAGAGTGAAGCAATCATACATGTTCTCATTCTGGTTTCCAATCCCAATGGGCTCCATTTCAGCAGTGAATGGAGAGAATACAGCTCCGACACCCTTCCATATCCCACTAACACTGCTCACAAAGGTATTCCAAACTGGTTTTATAACGGGCTCCTGTAAATAAATAATCAGAGTCAAATCACAAGACCAAAGAATGGTAACATTATCAGAGTTGAGGTGCGCTCATTACAAAGGTCAAGATACTCCATAAACGATACAGTTTGATATATTCAATACAGTCCATACATAATGTACAAATGCACGAGGGAATCACAGTTGAGAAAACAATCAATGAAGTACTTACGGGCTAGTTGGGTTGGTTAAAGACATCATCCAACATCTTATAATACAAAAAGTAAGGACAGATAAGCAGCAGGATCAATTTAAACCAGTTTAGTTCTGTCTGTATGACTGTGCGTGTGTCTGAGAGAGAGAGACAGAATGAGAGACAGAGACAGAGAGAGGTGACATCGCAGCATATAATCAATTAATCAGGACCCAACCAAATGTTCAATGTTCTATCCCCAAGTAATCTCTAACACAAACATGAACAGTTGAACATAAAAAATCTCCCAAGAAGAAAAACACAATTCAGCAAAATTCTTGAACAACTGAAGCAAAAACAAAAGACCCAATTCATAGTTGTAGAAAAAATTAGTAAATGAAAACCCTGTTACCTGTGTTTGCAAAACTTTCTCAATCTCCATTAACATAGCAGCAGTGACAATCACTCGACCACTCCTGTTCCTTCTCTTTGAGTTTCTCAGTCTAGGCCTCCTACTTGGATTTCTCGAAGGCCCCATAGCAGCTTTTGATTGTTCATTGTCGATACTCCATACATTCTCTTTATGCTTAAGAGCCCCCTTCTGTTTGTCTCTCCCTCCATGTTTATTGCGTTTGTCACTGTGCACACTGCAAATCACCGAAGCTCCGCTGCAATGGATGAAAGATGAAGTATTCTTTAATGGGATTACAGAGGAGGAGAAGCCTAGGGAGTTTTCGATGTGCGTTTTGGGGAGACGGAGAATTTGCTTGAAATTAGGGCATACATGGAGACACTGAGTATGCATTATGAGAGTCCAGGCTCCAAATGGGCGGTAATGCAGCTGGAATTGTAGAGAGAGAAAGTGATTGTGGGGTAAAAAGTACGGAGGAATTAAGAAATCGCAGCGACGATGGAGAGAGAGTGGTGTGATGGGTGGAGAGGGAGATGGTTTGGTAGAGAGAGAAAGTGGGGTTGGAGGTAACTCAGAAGTTGTTTCTTGCGATCGAGAGAGAAAATACGAGCGGCCTTTCTGGTGGTGCTTCCCACCTGCTAAGGATGAGCCCTCTCCCTCTATCTCTCTCTAGATTTGATTTGGCGTCTCTCTCTCTCTCTAAATTGAGGAGCATTCCTCCTGGGTTTGGGGGTTCTCGCAATGTCTAATCGGATGCGGTACTTCCCAGAGGAATCGAGAGTGCCCTTTCACTGCAGGATCCGAAAAATAAATTTCCTAGGGCTTTTTTTTTTGGACCTCTATGAAAAGTAAGTTAAGCTCCATCTCATGATTCATCAAAAATTATAATTCAAGCCTTTTAGTACTATAGCCAACTCCACCTCATTATTCATTCATCAAAAATTATAATTCAAGCCTTTTAGTGAGAATGGCATAAGAGACTTTATCATAGACTTCCTTGGCACTATAGCCATGGCCCTAGCCAATTCTCGACTTGAACATACTGGTTGTGAAAAAAAATTAGGATTTTAAGCTTTAAAAATTATGTACATTATAATAAATTATTTAGACGGTTCATTTCACCATGAAATTAAGTGTTCATAGATCCACAAGATTTTTACCATTTTTTGAGTTTCAAAATTGAAAATTAATTTAGATCTATCATGGAGATTTTTGTTGCTGGAAAAAAAATTGCCAGGAAAAAATTTGATTTAGATCCGTCATGGAGATTTCTATTGCCAGAAGTGCTTTCAAGACAAGGATACGAGGTAAGGCTTTATTTTGTTTTCATAAAGCCTAGGCCCTATAGAAACTTCATCCTTTTTTTCTTTTTTTGGGAGAAAATTAAGTGGTACTTCAAAAAAAAAAAAAAAAAAAAATCTTACCAAATTTTAAAAATGAAAAAATATTTTATGATGGTGATGCTCTAAACCAGGGTTCAAAACAAGGGCCGATTTGTCGTCAATGCAATGGACAGTTGGAATCATGGGAATTTTTTTTATAAATTATATATTCATCTGAAATTTGGAGCTTTTATACATCTCACTATCAAATGCTCAAAAGTATATAGAAATAACTTTTTTAAAAAAATTAAATGAGAAATTACTCTAAAAGACTTCATCTGAAATTACTATTTGGATTTTTTTTTTTTAATGTACATTACTGAGGTGCACCCATAAATCCGAAACGAAAAAGGGGGAAGTTTTGAAATTTGAAAATTTGGAGCGTGTTCAGAATTACCGCTCCACCGAAGAAACAAATATGGGTAACAACATTTATCAATATAAGGCAATATGTTATCATAAATTTGAGTAGAGGTTTATAAAATAACTATTAGGATGGTGCATATGGAAATAAAACCCCTCCCATCCCCCAACACACAGACAAAAGACAAAAGAACAAAAAACAGCCACAACAAGGAATCCAACCGAAAACTCACTTGTTGCCACTGAGACTGAACAACTAAATGGTGATGGAAGCAAATAACAAACCAACCGGCCGAGCCCCCCATCCCCTGAAAAACAAACAAAACCAAATCTACACATAAGAAAGAAGAAATGGCCACAACAAAACACCCCACCGAATACTCACTTGGAGTCATTGTGAACCAACGACTCATGGTGATGGAAGCAAACAACAAATTTACCTGCCCAGAGAAGAGTATTATCATTGAGAACTAATCAGGCTTCTTAAGCCAATTCATATAGAGCAATATTTTGGGCAAATGCCCCGTGCTCACAAAGCCAATCATAAGTTCATCACAATGATAAATGCTTTAAATGTAAAATGGTTCATTACGTAATAAAAATATCAGAATCAACCACCAAAGTATAAGGAAGATTAACACTTTATAAACTATTTACAAATAGCAAACATTCAAGGAGCAACTAATTGTGTAAGAATACAAAGAAATAGACAAGAATTTGCATACATAAATACAAACAAATATGCACATTCTTCTAGGAGGAATTCACCAGTACAAATAGACAAAAAAGAAATGATATCAATGTGTGATGATATCGGTGAACAAAATATCCTACCACTTGTATAAAACGTACTTGCAAAAACACAAAGTCACACGCATAGATAAAGAGAAATATAGTGAGATATCTACATTATTACCATCATCCAAGCTTTATCTCAATTATTTGGGGTCGGCTACCGAAATCCTGTTCCTCCATTCTTCTCTATAATGACCATACCCTCATAAGACCATAGGTTCATGATTCATGATAAGATTGTGTCAAAGTTTTACATTGGTTGCCTACCTAATGCAATCTACCTCTTTAACTGGGCTTCGGATAGGTTAAGAGAAAACTTAAGGTCCTCATGCTTATTAAAAGATGTAATGTATTTCATATATGTTCTAATAAGGGTGAGGACCTTAAGTTTTCCCTTAACCTGTTCTAAACCTGGGTAAAGGAGGTGGATTGCGTTAGGTAGGCAGTCCATGTAAAACTTTGCCACATCTTATCATGAATCCTGAACCTATGGTTTTACTGAAGGTATGGCCTTTGAGAGAGAGATCCAAATACCAATATAAAAATACACACACCAATATAAATAAATGATACATTTGCCGATAGTAAAAAAGATGTCCATTGAATTTGACAGAATCTCATAGAAAGACAAGAATATGGATCTCAATCTACAAAGAAAGCTGCTGTAAAACTTTATTTCAGGCTCCTTATTCAAGGCAACTACAAAAATTTGACTTTTCTCTACATACAAAACCCAATGACATTTTGCACCTCATCTATCCCCCCCTCCTCTCACTCTCAAAAGGAAATGTCAAGTAGCATGCAGGTTAAAACTAAGGGAAGTAAGAAAATAAACAACATTCAGGAGGGAACAATGGGGATATCCAATGGCAGATGAATTTTTCCTCAAAAACTTTCCAAACCCCAAATATCTTTTTTTAGTTTTCTCTTTCCTTGAATTATAAGAATTCCCTCCATAATTTATGCCATCCTCCACATCAGAGAATAGGCTCTCTCCAAGTTGATCTAATCGTATCACAAGAATTTCCCAGTTCAATCACAGGTCTTGGGAACAAAACCTCCACACGTAAGCAATAATTCAAACAAATCACAAGAGCAACCCAGCACTTCAGAGGTCTCAAGAACTAAACCTCCTACACTTGATGGTTCTAGGTTCCCAAGGGAACTAATATTAATATTGAGCTTAAGTAATCACCTTTACAATTTGCCTCATTAATGCTTCGCATTGTTTTCATGGTACAACTTTCTGGATAATATGCTATAGCAAATGACGTAAATCCTTAAAAGTACATGGCACCTCTCAAGCCACAAGACATTAGATTCATACTTCATAAGGGTTAAAGCAAACCTTCATAACCTGTAATGACAATGCAAAAATTTACTAACTCGTCATTTCTTAACCTCTGTTTTAATTAGCCTTTTATGTTCAACATATGATTATTGATCATTTGAAAGTGCTAGGACTCTTGAACTCATTGTTTTTTAGAAAAACACTTCTAAAAATTTATTAACAAGAAAACCCTTCAGAAACCCCAATCCCTGAAAGGCTCCCTCAAGTATCTTAGGTACGATTGACAAAACAGAATCTTGAATATTCAAAATTTTAGAAATCTGAGTAAAAGCATTTCGAGCATTCTATAGATTTAGATTATATATTATTGTTACATGTGTTTTTTTTGTGTCTGTTTAACTGTCCGCATTTTTTTTTGGTAATTATCAAATATTTGAAATTTGATTGTTAGCTGACAAACCCACAATTCATCCTTTTCCTTATTAGGAACGTTGATATTTAGGCATATCCTTTTTTCCCATAACTAACCTATCTTACAAATATCTCTCTCTCTATCTCTCACGTGAAAAATAGTTCTTTCAATTTCCTGACTGACATACAATTCGTATGTTCATACACTTAGCAAAAATATGTTTTTATGTAAATTCCAAAGGAACACAACTAAAAGACTAATGTTTCAGTTGAAATAGGCCACAAAATGATGCAAGGCCTTGATTAAATGTTAGTTGTGTTCTACTATTAGTGAGATCGACAACATGAAGAGAAAACAAACAAAAAGTGGAAGTGAATAGGAGGCAAAAAGAAAAAAAATAAAAGAAGTATCACACCATAATGACCTTATAATACAAGAATACATGAGACTTGTCATATAAAATTCCCTTCCTCTTGCCTTAATGAGAAATTCTTCAGTTTTATAAGAATGGAGTAATTATAAATTTCTCTCTTCGTTCTTCTAATTTCTAAAGGAGAAAATAAATTGCAGCTTTTCAAGCCAAAGTCATCAAATGGTCTTTCAATTCAAAATAGGGGTTGCCTGATAACATCTCAAGAAGCTTGGAATTGTGGGGTAAATCCATCTGGTTCATCAAATTCTTTCCATTGAAAAAGAGATAGACATTTTAGAGGAATCCCTAGTGGGGTAATTGGAGGTTCCAATGATTGATACTGCTAAAATGTCAACAGCCTGCAACTGCAGGCATCAACTCAGCCCCAGATTTTCCTTCAGATGCTGCTCATTGTAACCTGTTTATATGCACAATCTAGTTATACATCCAATCCCAGAAACATATTAATGTATCATAACCATTCATTCAAAGATATAATGGATTCATTCATGGCAAGGAAGAAAAATTAAAAGAAAAAAATGGTAGAAAGAGATCACCTCTTAAGAAAACTTTCCCACCACAAATAATTTCAAATTAACCACGAAAAACTCATTATTAAACATAGTTATTGAGTTTAAAAGCAAAGGATCATGGAGCTAGAGGATGTAGAGAACTAAATAATCAAAATTATTGAAAAAGGAAAAAAAAAAGACTTACAGAAATCAATTCCAGTAACCCACAAATATAAGACTTAGAACACAAGGTAACTCCTAATTTGTTATAAAACCTAGCTGAAATTACAGCAAAATTGATACACAGGGCCTATTTTTCATCTACATGAAAAAAAGGATCTCCTACTGTTACATATGTTAAGAAACCCTAAAAAGGATTACAAAGATCACACAATTATCCATCAAAATCACAGATAATTCTCAAAAATGAACTCCACTAAAATCTGTTCAAGTCCAAATCTCTTTACATTTGAAGTGGGTTCGTGCAAAACGCAGAATAAGATCCCATATGAGGCAAATAGTCCTTGAAAAA